TTTTAAATCGGGTTTTTTAAATCGGGTTTTTTAAGAATAATTTTAACTGCACAACTTTAAATATTGGTTTAATTTGGTTTTATCTGGTGGGGGTTGTAAATATGTCTATGTTTTTAAATATGTTGTGAGCCGCCCTGAGTCCCGTTGGGAGAAGGGCGGGATATAAATCAAAATAAATAAATAAATAAATAAATAAATACATGCCCATCCTGTCACAAGGCAATTCTTAAATGGTTTGCACAGAATCAAAACCATTCTTTCAAAAGTATAGATTGTAGTATTATGCTTACTAACAATTCAAAAATGTTTTTCTAATAATATAAGCATTTGTTAAATGTTTATTCTTTCCCTTCTAAATTTCTCACCTGCCAAGCGTCTTAATGGTAGCTCTTCAAGTCCCTTCGTACCATTGTGATTTAATAAAATTGCTAGTGCAGCATTTTCATAAAGTGTGTTCCCTCGTATTATCTGGAGATTCTCCAAAGGAATAGTTTTCACTGCATTCATTGCTATAACCACATAGCCAGCCACTTCTTGTATACTCTGGAAGATATGGAAGACAAAGATATACAAAATAAAGACAGAGACTAAAGCAAATTCTTTTCTTGGCTTTACACTTGCAAAGTATTTTTAGGAGCACCTCCCCAAATAAGTAAGATGCAAATTAAGTAATTTCCACATAGCATTCACAAATTCAATATAACTTATTAAGATTTACAGGGATAAATTCCAGAAATATAAGATAATGTTTATCTATTCTGTTTATATAGCTGGGACTCAAGATGTAATAAAGCTAAAACAACAAATAATCTTACAGAAATAAAATACAATTAAAGACATAAATAACCAAAATGTATTAAACCAGATAAGCTCAAAGTAAATTCTGTTCCAGTTCCTAGATGAAACACTAGACTTCAAAATCTTAAAATAAGCAGGCTGTGTTGGGGCCATCAGGAAATTGAAAGGGGGAATAGCATTCCACATCTCTTGGGTGCCATCAAATGCCATTAAGCTATGGGACCCAAGAATGCCAACTTATTAAAAAGGCAGAAATAATTGGAAATAGATGAGTTGCAAATGACCAACGCCTGTGTCATGAAGGGCTTTCATCACCAGTTCCTTGAATTGCATCTGAAAAGCCAGTGAAGTTTGCAAAGTAGCAGAATTATGGGGACACACAGAGGTATCCTCATTATTGTCTTCATTATTGTATTCTAAATGAGTTATAGTGACCTCTTATCAATTCATATTGACCAGAGTCAGTCCAAAAGGAAATCATTTGTTCTTTGGAAGGACAGATACTGAAGCTGAAGTTCAAATACTTTAGCTACCAAATGAACTTTGGCCATCAAATGAGAAGAAAGGACTCATTGAAAAAGTCCCTGATGTTGAGAAAGATTGAAGGGAAAAGGAGACGGGGACGGCAGAGGATGAGATGGTTAGATAGTGTCATTGATGCAATGAACATGTATTTGGGCAAATTCCAGGAGACAGTGGAGGACAGAGAGGCCTGGCGTGCTATGCTCCATGAGGTCATGAAGAGTCAGACATAACTTACCCACTGAACAACAACTAATCATAGGAAACCATACAATGGAAGTAAGAGCTTGCTTGAAATGCATATTTCTCATTGATTGTAATCTCTTGAGTAAATTTAATATAACAAAAAACCTGAGTTCCCCTTGTATTATTTAGAGCTCCCATAGTTAGCTCCAAGAATTAATGAGGGTGCAGACAAACTGCATGTAGAACATTAGAATGTAACAGAATGATATGTTAGGAGTGGAAAATAGGACTTTAATGTTTTGGAACAAATATCCACAACATAAAACTGATTCCTAATCCAGATACATATTGCTCTTTTCAAAGGCAAGTAAAGGCATTAAGGTTCTCTTCATCTCCCATTCACATTAGAACAATGTAATTCATTTTACAAACCTTCAGAAAAGTAAGGTTATAGTTGTAATCCACATAAGTGATTTCCAGATTGCCAAGCACTATTTCACAGTTCTCATACATCCTCTTAAGGTTGTTATAGTGGTCATCCACACTTGCAAGTTGAGTTAGCTTATTGCTTGTTCCTTGACAAACTGAACAAAGAATAAACATACAATAAACATGAAAATCCGCATGCAAAGCAGGTAAACTATGTGCAGAATATGTTTTTTCTTAATTATGTCAATATAAAGTTTCTCACTGAAATTATTCCCATCACTTGGGATCTGAACATAAAATTTAAAATTCCATCTATCTTCAACTGAAAACAGGAATGTTGTAGAAATATGAAGGCATTTTTATAATAGTTTTATGATTTTTATGATTACTTTTATAAAATATGCGCTCAGTTTTAATTTATATATTTTAAAATGTATATAAGTATAATAATTATAGTAGTTTGATTATTATTCAAACAATAATTCTAAAGGCATGCATTTAATAGTACTTGGAAAGGAAATGTAACTATTAACATATTTCAACCAATACCATTTCTTCAGTTGTAACAAATTATGATTTAATGTAAAATATTTAGACTATAAAATTATATTTAAATTATAGGGCAAGAGAAACAAGGACAAACAAAACAAAAACAAGATCCATTAATATATAAAAGGATGGATTTAAATATAAACAGCACCAGTATCAATAGATTAGCAAATAAACTAACTATCATTAAAATTAAGCAAATAAAGATTTTTGTGAGAAAACTGCAAATCAAAACTGTGGGATACAAAACATAAAATTCCTTATCTCTAGTGAATTATAATTTTCAGGGTTTTTATATCAATAACTAACATAAAATTTAGAATGCCTCATATATTGGGGCAATCCCAAGGACACTAAGAAGTACTTCGAAAGGCCTAATTATCCATTTTCATTGGGGAAGATTAATAGCTCTGTGTGGAGAACAATTAAGGTTATTAAGGCTTAGAGCTCAGTAAAGAAAATAAATTACTGTGTCTCACCCTCCATTGTTACCTATATAACAAACTGATAGAGATTTCTGACCTATGAAAGAAGAATTATTCATTTACATAAAATATAATTTGTATGAGATCTATCTTTTAAAGCATTTATTCTAGAAAAAATATTACCATTCATGTATGTATGTATGTATGTATGTATGTATGTATGTATGTATGTATGTATGTATGTATGTATGTTATTTTTATGCAGCATAATTTTAAATATTACTGCAGTCCCACCTTAGCCATGAAAGCCAGCTGGGTGAATTTGAGTTAGTCATTCTCTCCCAGCCCAACCCACCTCACAGGACTGTTGTTGTGAGGAAAATAGGCGGAGGAAGATGTGTTGGATATGTTTGCTGTCTTGAATTATCCCATGACAGCAATAATAATAAAAAACAATAACAAATATATTGTTAAAAATCCAATTTCAAGTCTTGGTAACTTACTTCTCATGTCTCATGACCTGGAAAGCAGCAAGTACTTGCAATGTTGATGGCAAGGAGCAGGCAATTAGACCCTGACTGCTTGCTTCAAATAGTTGCACTAAGTGAGAAACTACTTATCATACTTACTAGGGCTGAAATTGTTAGTACAGTCTTATTCAGCCTTTCAAAATCTTGTACTGATGAATTATAAAAAGCAATACAAGTCTTGAGGGATATTATATAGCCCCCTCAAATATACCAATATTTCTTATTCCATTATATCACTTATTCCATTATATTTCAAGAGTACCCGATTTAATGATGCACTGCTGTCACAGGAGAAATTTATATTAAAAATATTCTGAATGCACCCTTTTCATGCTAATTACTTTCTTTATTGGGGTAAAGAGAAAATTAAAACTATTGCAACTGCTACCACAAATTCAGATCAAAATAAATGATTAAAGTAAATAATGAAACAACAACAATGCACAGATTCGTATAAAAAACAATATGTAAAATAAAATAATTGTGAATACAATTCATATCCCAATTCACACCTCAAAATTAAACATGGTTCCTCACTGTAGGAAGCAGACATAATACACTAATCCCTGAGACTATGTTTTCACAAACTTTCTTAAAGCAAGATGGGAAAAGTCATCTGAAAGTCCGGGGCCAAGCTACAGTATTACACCAAACAGGACCTGTAACTGGAGAGGCATGACTTTGAATGGCAGAGAAACTAGCAAAATAATTTGATAATGGGTTGGGACCATGGGATTTTTTTTTCCACGAATGGTCTTCTCTTCCCTCTTAAAGGACAGGCAAGTAGTCAGTGGTTGGTAACAGCTTGTTTTTAAGCATTCCACTCTTTCAGTTATCACAGCCAGAACGGGTCTTGTGCAGCCCTACCATGGACCTCAATAGGAAGGTGTGGGAAAAAGAGTTTATTGTTTTTACAGAAACTGTAGAAGACATGCCTGTGAAGCAAATACATTGTATATATTTTAATCTCATGAGCCTCGCTTGAAGCTTGAGAATTGTATCTAGGAAGGTCTCTGCTATGCTGAAAACCGGTCCTAACCAGAACTTACTGATATAATAGCAACTTTAGAGACAACCCCTAGGAACTAACAAACATAAAAGGAAATTCGTAAATAAGAGAAGGGGGCGATAAAATTAGAGTAGTGGGAGATGTAATCAGGTGCAGAGATAATGTATTCATTTTAGAAGCTTTGGATAGGTTGTGATGACATGATTACAGTATGATTACTAACCCAATGAAGAAAAGGTGGGAGGTAAATTTGAAATGGCAATGGAGAATATAAAGAATGAATATTGTAGATTCTGGGTGTGTCCACTGTGTGCTTGCATGCACAAGGAGCACTCCCTTTGCAAAGGAGTACAAATAAATTACCATTGTTTTCTCTTGGAAGTTTTGGCTTGTGATTTCATTTTAACTAGACAACAAATCCCATAACTTGGGGGCTCGTCTGGGATTTTCCAGACAGTGGCAGGAGTCACTGAGCAAACACCAACTGGGAAGACATGTCCCATTGAGTTCAATGGTCCTATGTTGTGAATGATTGGTGAGTCCTGTATGCCTGTGGAATCCGGAACGGAGGTTAAGAGAAAGCAATCGTAAGGGGAAAGTCCTGGGGCATTATACAGTGGGCACTGAAGCACTGCAACTGGGCAACTCTGTGCACAGACCAAGGTAAGAAAATTTGGACTTAAGTACTGCCTTGGCGGTTGGAATATATAGCTCTGTGTGTTGGGGCCAGGTTGACAGGTATGTGGTGTGCTTGGAGCATGAGGTGATGTGAAGCCCCAGAAGTGGGCAGAACTGGACACACACTGGATCTAGTTTTTGTCTCTGGCCAGTGGCAGAGTGATCTGACAGTAGGGGAGATAGTGGTTGAGCCCTTGTCATGGTCAGATCATTCTCTCCTAAGGTTGGTTTTCCGGACCGCTCCCCCTCGCCGCAGGGAGACGGAACCACCTAGATGGTTCCGTCCCAGGCGACTGATGGACCCTGAGAGGTTC